GCGATCCAGGCCAAAGCGGGCTTTCGAAAGCGAAGTGTGGAAATTCCTGCTGGGTGGGAGCACCTCCCTGCCTTTATTAGCTGCTGCCCGGGGAGGGACAGAAGGAGGCGGCCCAACTTTAAACTTAATTACCCAATTAAGGGGGACCCCTCTTTGAAAGGCCAGGGGTCAAGCACTGTGAACCAGCTGCGTCCGAGAGAGCGCTCAACTGGCCGTCCCCATTGGAAACCGTCTTACTTCACTTGCCTGTTTCATTTCTATCTTCTTGGCCCTGCTCCCCGGTTCAGACGCGCGTCCACGGCGCTAGTCGAGCCAGCCATCTTTAGAGAAGGGCACCCAAAGGGATTCGGCGGGATGACTCTTCACAGCTGCTGGGGAGAGGAGAAGAAGCAAGACTCATCAGGAGCAAAGCCGGGGTCTCGAGTGGCGCTCAGCCATTCCGCATCGTCTCCCCCCCGGCCCCCGCTTGGCCTGTAACTCGATATCCCCCTTGAAAAACAGAAACCCTGGAAGAACATTTGGCTCACGCAACCTTGCAAGAAACCCCCCTTTCTGCCGTGGAAGGAGGGAAGGGAACGCTCCCATTTGGAAGGGCGGCTGGTCCGCCCGTAAAGAGCAACATCGAGGCTGGCACACACATTCAGAACTCGATTCCCCGGTTCAAGCTGACGGCCGAGTGGAGCTCCGGGCGGGTTCTCACAGGGAATCTGGGCCGCGAACGACGCAAGTTTGCTTCGGAGGGAGATCGAGCTGGGGATCCCTTTCGGATCCAGCCGCTCCGTCACCCCGGAAACCAGTTCCTTGCACCTGTTCTGCCGGGCGGCCCCAGACAGGCTGTCCCCACCCCGGAGGCACATTTGCATCTTCTCGTCCCCACAAAAGCAGGAATGTAATTAAGGCAGCTCTTAACTCACTCTCCGAACTTGCTTCTTGGCAACTCGGAGCAGCGAAAGGCTCCAATGCTCAGAGGACGTCCCGGCGTTAAAGTAAAACGTTGGGGCAGAAAGACAGCGGGGAATCACAGGGTCCGGGAGCGGGGTCTGTAGTGGGGTCCCCCACCCCC